TTGTTTAAGAAATAAGCTCCTTGTGCATAAAATGACTTTTTTTTCTTTAAAGAGTGGGGGGAAAAAGCATCCCTGAACAAAATGAGCTGGTGCTGAGGCTGTGTCCCCTCCATGGAGACTCCCTTGCCTCTTCTGTCCTTACCTTTTTCAAAGGCGTTAAAGAGTCTTTTGGTAGGAAGTTTTATGCTTTTCCTGATCAGAAAAAAATCCCTTTCTCTCAATGGCCTCTGCTTGTTTTTATTGCATTTTGAACAGTCAGCTCTGATTTTTATGGGCATCTTTTATTCTTGTGTTTATTAAACTTCTTCACATGGGGGTGGACGTAAGGGATAAATTATTCTGTGGTAGTTTTTGAACTGAATAGGTTACACGTTCTTCCTCAAATATATAAATCAGTGTCCTGAAGTGAGCCCTGTCCGCTTCCTACATGGGCTTCTGGATGAAAAAGATTTTGAGACCTGGAAAGTTCTTTCTGGGCTCCGTATTTTTTTTTCGTCTAATGATGTTGGTGTTCCCCAGATCCAAAAGGATAAGCAAAAAGATTCCTCTGTGGGAATTAGTGTAACTTCAGGTGCTTTTTTCTCTGAACTCCAGAGATCTGTCCATTACAGGAAATTATTTAGCGAGTATAGTTGTGCGCTTGTTTGTCTTTCATTAGCAAGATCAAGACAACTGAATTTGTGCATCCCTGCTCTAATGTTAAAGAGAGGACAGTTTCGTTTAGGATGATTGGGTAGGGAAAGGCTGAGTTTATAGCAGTGCTTTCACATGCCCTTATGAATTTTTCAAATCCCTCTTAAAAGGAAGTCCCCAGCCATTCTGCAGAAACCCTCTAGCCTCCTCCTCCTGCTCAGCCCACTGGCCTGGGACAGCCAGGTTATATGGGAGGCTTCCACCTAGGACCTGTTTTTTTGGGGGAACATTTTATTATCTTTTTTTAAAAGAGAAAAATTCTGAGCAAGCTGTTACAGATTTGCTTGAAGTACCGTGAAATCATAAATGCAAGATTGTTGTAAAGAGAGTGGACCTGGTAATGGATATGTATAAGCCTCTGGCTCTGTAGGTTCCTATTGTTGCCGTGTTTGGGGGGCGCAGCTGAGGGGAGGGACAGGGTGCCGACGTCTTTTTCTTTAAGCGTGTTAATATTGATTTTAGAAGCTCTGTGTTCCAACAATATAAATGCAAATGCCTTGTAATTGGGAGTCGCGTGCAGAATTTCTCAACAGAAAACAGGTTCAACTTTTCGTGACAATGGAAGGAAAATAAAAAGCTGCTTATTTATTGCTGGTGGTTTGAATCCTGGATTTCCTTTCAAGTTACTTTGCAGTGCTAAATAAAATACCTAATTGCAGTGCTCGCAAAATTCAAATGGGTACATTTGTTCTTCTGGTAGCTTGCAGCTATTTGCAGCCTCTGGACACCCTCAGCATTATTTCAGCACATCCATAACTTCTGGTTGCACTCTAAGGAAAAGCTGAGGGTGAAGGGAGAAGACTTAGAAGCCCTAAATGTTGCTGGCACAAATCACTGCTGAAGTTGGAACGTGGTTGTAAACGTGTGGGGATCTCAAGGTAGTGCTTACAGATGATCAGACTGATAAAAGAAGGGGTAGCAGTGAACCTCTCATTTCATTCCCTTGCGCTGCTCACCTCCACCTTTCCCACCTGGGAAGAAGCAGCGAAGGTTCTTGACCGTGGAGATGGAGCTGAGCGTGTTGAGCTCACCAGGCTGCTGTGAAACGTGAGAGAGCGCCCGGCTGCCTTCCTGCATCACCGTCTGTTGGGGGGTTGTGTGTGTGTGTCTAAGTGCTCACCATTTCATAATAATTACTAATGAAATTCTAGATCTGTAATAACATTTTGGATATCTAAAACAAACCATATGCTCGTAAAAAAAAAAAAAGAGAGAGGGAGGAAAAAAAGTGGAAACAGATCAACTTTAAGCCATAAATTCTTGGTAATAGAGGCCTCTTTTTCCCCCCC